GGATTACTCAATTTACTTCTATTACATTGCTTTTACATATGAACAGTCATTTTTTATTATTATCATTTTCGCTTTTGTCTTTACCTTCACTCAACTGCTCTCTATTGCTTACACTACTGGTCTGTCTCTACTGTTTTGAGCTGCTAAACAGTTGCCCCTATAAAGCTGCCTTCCAGTGCGCTATCTGACACATGTATCCTGAAACTATGCATATCGTTTAAGCTCGCCACCTTCAACGTTCGCACCTTGATGCAAATCGGACAACAGACAGGTTTGGCTAGGACTCTAGAAAGCCTCGCCATTGATGTATGCTACATCTCAAAGACCCATATGCAAGATCCCAGTAAAGTCCTTCGAATTAAATCCCAATGTGTCAGCTCGAAAAGTACCTTATATGTGCCCCTATCTCGGGACAGTGGCATCAACAACCGGCCTCGCTGGTGCCGGTGTTGGAAGGAGTCAAAAAGTTCCGGTATTTGGGCAGTTGTGTGAATGCTTGTGGAAGTGTGAGTGGTGAAATTTCCAACCACATATCGAAAGCAAGAGTGGCATACTTCAATCTAGACCACCTTTGGCACCGTCGCGACGTTAGTCTAACCGTTAAACGTCAGGTTTACAACGCTTCAGTGTGAGAGGTTCTGCTCTACGCCTGTGAAACTTTGCCTTTCTAAGCTGCTCATTGGCGACGACTCTGTATGTTTGATCATCATTGTCTCCGTAGAATTGCTCATATCCGGTGGCAACACCATGTAATTAATTCTGAGGTACGACAGTGTGTGTCTGGGCATGACCGAGATCGTCATTCCCTAAGTGAAGTCATCTAGAAATACCGGCTTCGGTGGCTTGGACATGTGTTACACATGTCGTCCCAATAGCTTCCACACCGATTATTGTTTCTACCCCTAAGCCTGAAACTGGATGGATGAAGTGGAGGGGTGGTCAATGTATGAGTCGGCGCCGTAGGATGGAGGATAGTTGTATCGGGTTAGCATCTGTTAGTGCATCACGACTCTCTGGGTGGGGTGCGAGAGATCAAGCAACTCAGTAGCTTAAGACGTTATAAGGTATGACTCAGAATCGAAACCAGTGGCGGTTATGCTGCAGCTGCCTCCTATCTTCTGCTGCTGATGTTTCGTTTCGAATGTACCTCACTGGACTCCCCCTTCCCTTATACTGTGTTTTTCTTTGCAACATATCCACTTCCCTTTGCTTTACATCTTCATAATGTCATTACATTATTTTGTGTGGCGCATTTCTTGGTGCCTTTGGTGAACCACTTTTGTGTTCCAATAAATAATAATAATAATAACAATAGTAATAATAACAGCAACGACGGTGATAATAACAGTAGTAATAATAATGATGGCGATAGTAATACTAGTAATAATAATGGTAATGATGGTAACAATAATGTCCAAAACAAAGAGAATACAGATATCCACCTAAGCAGAAGAGAAACTCATCCGAGAAATAAAAATATACAGATGACTAGTTAACCGTGTGAATACAACGTTGAAGTTGTAATGGGGTTAAGATAAAATCAATTTAGGTCGAACAGTGAAATCATGGTGATAAAACTAGAGTTGGTTATGTAACCGGTTGTGAAAAATAAGAGGGATACACTTGAATGTAAAACAAAATCAATGAGTACAATGGAAGTTGAAGGTTAACAACTGCCTGCTTCTGATTCTTATTACAGGAATTGTGTTTAGATTAATTAGTATTATTTTGCTTATTTGTCATCTTAAACCCATCCAAGATTCTAACATGGAGAGCTAAGTATCCTTCAGATATGTACCAGAATAATTAATAAAGTTGTTTGATCTATGAAGGGATAACTTAGTTGGAATATATTTACAGAAGCAAGTTACAGTCCGCCTGTCCTTCCAGTGTTTATGCAAGTGAATTGATAAATATAAATGGAGATGGATGAACAATTAGCAAATAATTTTCAAGCTACAATGAAATCTTACTGAAGAGTAATCAGTCCTTAGTGCTGATTCAGTTTTGTCGATCATTTTGCAATGTGGTCATCAGGCTAGGATGCTCACTATCAAGATGAACTCAGATGGACGTTAGTTAGATGGAGGCAGTCGGGAGGAAGCCCTGGAGATAGGTTTGGTTCTTTGTAGCACTTATTAGGAAAATACATCTGCAACCTCGACGGAACTGATGTCCAACCTAGGATTCGAACCCACGTTACACAGTGTTACAATCTGAGACGTTACCACTGAACTATTCGGGTCACGATTGACCTCCTGTAGGTACATTGATTGGTAACCAACTTAATGTAGTTCAGTTCTAAGTGCTGATCGAATTCCATCGATTATTTTGTAAAGTGGCCACCAGGGTTCCCATTGTGCTATTCATGACAATTTTGTGTCAGAGATCACACCATATGATCTTGACTAGGGGGTAGTTTCCCTGTTGACATCACTGGAATTGAGGAGTTGGAAAATGACGCAACTGTGAGAAATGTCACTCATTATCATTTTGGCTATCTGACATTTGGGAGACTTGTATTGATACTGGATGATGACTGGAGGTGAAATGAAAATTTAGACTGTGGCAGAATTTGAAGCAGTGACCATGCAGTATCAATACAAGTCTGCTAAACCACAGCTGCTATCTCAGATAGTCAAAATCACAATCAATGTGGTGTCCCCCCTCCCTCTACTCTACTTCAATTACATTTGGATTGGGATAAGAAGTTTTGATTAGGCAGCCAGTGTGAATACGATTAAGCGGTAGTAACGCGCGTCACAAATTCGCATGGTAGTCGAGCAAAACCCTCGGTGATTGAAGTGGAATAAAAATCTGGTCAGCAGTCGGACCTCATAGCTCAGCTGGTAGAATATCGGACCGGAAACCCGGTGATCACTAGTCCGAATCCGGCCGCGGTCTAAATGTTTTTTATTTCGATAGTTCACGATACTTTCGTGCCAGAGATCGCGCCTTGAGATCTTGAGTGAGTGGTGGTTTCCAGCGGAAACCCTGCTGATACCATTGGAGTTGGACAGTTGGAAAATTATTCAGCTATGAGAAATGTCAACGTGGACCCTGAAATTTGTAAATCATTTGCAAATTATTAATCCCATTTAAGATGTACCGGTCTATGCAAGTCAGATAGCCAGATTATGTTGGTCTGAACAATTTACCTCTGCGAACTGAATTTCTCCGGGTACCTCACTGATGAGTTGACTTGAACGAAAACGAACGAAACGGCCACCCTACGTTTAGATTATTCTGATCTGGAGAGCATGACCCACATGTCAGCATGAATCACTTCGAACTACTTGACTTGTTCACCAGTGTACAACTGGAGACGTTATGAACCGGATAATTGTCGGTTTTAGACTGATGCAACAGACAATTAGTTCCGCACAATAAGACAATAATTTAACCATTGAAAGATGGTTTTTTCGGGCTAGTTTTTATTTATTTTTTTTACTCTGCTTATCAGCTCGCCTACCTTGAAAATGAAATACAGAAAGACAAATGAAGAAAATTACTAATCAAAGAGTCAGTAGGATTACATTGCTGAGTAACGGTCCGAGTTGCCACACCTCACGTCAGTTCATCAAGTAGAAAAGTAGTGAGGTGAAAGATGAAGATAAGAAAATTCAGTCAAAAGAAATATAAAGTACGAGAAGAAAGAAAGGAACGATGACAAAATGGTGAGATTCGATATAGTGTAGTTAAGATGAGGATAATGTGTATATACATCTGCGCCACTGACTTCGGTTCTCAGCCATGTGATGACCTAGAGTCAGTCTCCAAACACTGGTTCCTCTTGTCCCGTGGACCCCAACCACCTATTCTGCATCGTCTTACATGGCTTAAACCAACAGTCAGAGACTTCATACATTGATGCCATGTTTTAGTTTGGCCACCTCAGGCCTTTTTCCAGCCTGGACCTGCTTCGGCCAACATTGTGTGACGGGGTAATCGGTAACTAGGCGTACATAGTGCGTGTCTCAACCATCTCAGTCGATGAAGGTTCATAACCTCGTCAACTGATTTACCTCTACTCCTAACTTCTGCATTACTCACGAGGTGACACCATGGAATACGGCCTATACTACGAAGGCAACGGTGGTCAAACACCTGAAGCCTTCTCATGTCTTCCACCGTCAATGACCATGTTTCATAGCCATACAGTAGAACAGAGCGGACTGGTGTGCAGTACACGCGACCCTTAATAGACAAACGGATATCACGGCGGCGCCATAGGTGGCGCAAATTGGCAAAAGCCAATCGAGCCTTTCGTATCCGTGCAGACATCCCATCGGCAACTAACCCACCGGAGTTGATCCTACTTCCCAGGTAAGTGAAGTGTTCAACAGACTCAACCACTTCACTCTCTATTGTTAGCCGCGGTGGGGCACCGCTGAAGACCAGTCCTGGAGCAAAATTTTGCATTTAGGTGGTGAAAATCGCATCCCAAACATTATCAAATTCCCACTCAGTGTGTTCAGAAGACTGCGTCTTCACCTAACAGGACTATGTCATCTGCATATTCTAGATCTAAAGAAAATTCACCTGTGATTGTGTCAACGTCTGTGTAATTAGGTGACGAGAGGGAAACCTCCATAAGAATATCTATGATAAAATTAAATAAGAATGGGGATAGTGGGCATCCTTGACGGACACCACTCGATGAGTGTGGCTCCCTGGACAACTCGCCATAGGCTCTAACATGCCCAAGTGTTCGAGCAGACAGCTTTCAATAAGGTGATGTACTTACTAGGCACACCTTTCAGTGACAGACATTGCCATCAACGGAGTCAAATGCCGCCTTCAGGTCGAGAAATACAGACAGTGTCGGGCGTCTCTAAGATTATCGAAGAATTCAAGGGATTAAATGCTGCAGTTGAGAAATCTAACGGCAAGAACTTGTTTTTGTAACCCTAGCGACCTAAATCTTAGTGGAATTCCAACTTTCACTGAAGCAATCAGAACAAATATAGACATTGATTATTAAGTACAGATAAGCTTACTGTTTCCAACTGAAAAGTACTGATACATGGGGCACCAGAAATATTTTGTTTGCAAGCAACAAAACACATTAGCTCAGGTGTAACCTTTTTGTCTCGAGTTAGAGAACATTCATGCCAACCAGGAATACGCTCACATATTGAACCAATGCATTGACCTTGTTTACAAACACGTGTATGATCCTACAAACACAAATAAAAGATTTGAAAACGAAAAACTCGCTAAAGTGTCTCCATCAGTCAATACATTAAAATTTTCACCTTATTTAAGTTGTTGGTAAGAGAATTTTAGTATTAAAGGAAGCATCCATGGTAGACACTGATATACAAATGTAAAGCAAAATCTGATCGTCAATTAGTTGGATAACAATGAAGTATCAGATTATCAAAACCTAATTCTCTCTGAACATGGATATATTTCGTCGTGTCATCCTCGAATTGTTAGCTACACACATTATTTTGAGACTTGGTGGTATGCTTAAACGCATAGAGGTCATCTTGAAGCATCGATTTTGATTTGGTGCCAAATGTCATCCTAATGGCTTCCATACCGTTCACCTTTAGTAAAAAGAATTAGAAAGGTAGTCAATGAATGACACGATATACAGGAATAAGTACAGTTCTTTTGGGAGTGTCATCTGCCAGTTCACTCAGTCACCTTGTACACATCCGTACAGTAGGTAATGAGTCATATCTATTGTGTGATGCCTGACTAATGATACTACCTAGATGTAAACTGAGAGACTGTGCAATTCAATTATGATTATAACAGAGTATAGAATGGCAATCAACTCTTTACCTCAATATCATAGATTTTGAAAAGGCCTTCGACAGCGACGGCCGAGAAGTAATGTGGCAAATGCTTTAGCACAACGGAGTACCACAAACTTTTATCAAATTCATTCAACAACTATATGAAGACGCCACATGCCAAGTGATTCACAACAAAATGGAAAGCTCAGTGATGCCTTTGAAGTGAACACAGGAGTAAGACTAGGTGGCTGCCGCCTACTATCACTGATGACCTTCCTGATTGTGGTCGACGGGATCATGAAACAAACTGTGAGGAGTGAGAAGATGGGCATACTCTGCTTGACTGATGAAAAGAGCCTAGAAGATTTGGATATCGCTGGTAATGATTTATCCGTAATGTCGCACAAACTCGAAGATCCATAGGCGAAAACTAACAAGTTGGCAGAGGAGGCGAGGCAGCGAAGGAAGACGGGACTTCAGGTGAACGTACAGAAGACAGAGGTGATGAAGATACCCAACCAACAGCAAGCACCAATTACCATGGGCCGGAGAAATCTAAAGGATAGACAACAAAAAACTGGCAGGCAACGAACCAATTGAGAACCCATCGCCCAACAAATATGCAGAAGAAAGTGGAGATCGATCGGGCACACATTGAGAAGACTATTTAGGGACCACGCGCCAGGTCGTCGAATGGAAACCAAAAGGAGAACGACGAGTTTGGCGTCGGAGGGTGACATGGAACAGATTGTGTGAGGAAGAAATGAAAGATTCTGGACAGTCGTGGGGCTAGCTTCAAAATACTGCAGAGAAGAGAGTGAAATGGTGATGTGCTATTGAAGCCCTATGTTCCACTAAGAACCCAAAGGACAAATAATAATAATAATAATAATAATAATAATAATAATAATAATAATAAATAATAATGATGATCATGTTTTGTTTGTTATCTTACCTGACAAAGAGTACCATCTGGTAAAATATCTACAGGTGGACATTTAGCCAACTTTCCGCTGCAATTAGATGCTCGATGACATTCCCCAGCTGGACGACACATATGCGTTTCGGACCGATATTGACAATTCTCAGTGCAGCAAACACCAGCTGTAGGTGAACACTGAACCTAAAAAACATAAGATTTGGAGAAATAAAGTAAACATATCTGACGTTATCAAGTGATCAATGAGCTGTAAAATACAACTTCAATAAATAAATAATTTTATTCTGTTCATGTGGTCGCTGGTTCGAATCCGGCTGCGGTCTAGATTTTCATCTCACCTTCAATCATCACCCAGTATAAATATAATGAAAGTGTTCATTTTGCAGAATTCTCAAGACACCTACTGATCTTCAGTGTAAATTGGATACACAGTGCATGCCAAATATATAAAGGGTGAATATACAACACTACTACTCAGCTGTAATTTTCTTTTCAAAAATTCCTACTACTAATTTGCAAAAAAATATACACTCAGCAACCTCGTGGACACTCGTGCAGTAGGCGATGAGTATCAGTTATTGTGTGAGGGCTAGTGATACTACCTGACTGCCTGAACATCGGTAGGTAAGGCGGGGCTAGAAACAATGAGCTACGGCTCCAGCCTAATACAGACAGTTGCTGAACAAATGCCAAGCTTGTTTAAGAAAAAAGGGATATTCAGCATCTTTCATTACCTGATCTTTAAAGCATAAGATAAGCGCCAGAAACTTTACTTTTTTTTTGTAAAGAATTCTAAAGAAAAATTGACGATGATTCCCTGCATAAGTGTATTCGTATTCATGAGGAATATAGCATCAAAACAATACAGTCCGCATAGCTCATCGGTGAAGCGTTAAACACCAGTAATGGATGGCGAAGGCTTAGTTCTCTCAGCAAACACCAGCTGTATTAAGGCTGCTGCCAACGAGCGCTAAGAAAAATGAAACTTGAGTCCACACCTTACTATCGTTTGCTTCTCAATATCTAACAAACATCACTTAGGTTCTAATAATGTCTCAAGAGCTTCCGGGGACCAAACACCCCCTGTCCGAGGAAAAACTCGTACTGAACACTCGAAATTATTACTTAGAATCAATTTTATTGTCTGATGATTTGGCTGTTGTCAGTTTAGTTTCCTTAAATCAAAAATTTAATATGGTGACTGTGAGAATTTCAGCAGTCTAAAAGTACCTCAGTAGGGCAAGTAAAGCAAACAAAAGCAGAAATAATCAGTATTTATTCGGTAAGTTCTCGTCAGCTGCTTTGCAACAAACAGGATATAATCTTAGTAATGATGGATGGTAGCTAGCAGTGGAATCCAGGATGCGCATTTCGTCCTGTTTGGGACTCATCAGCTGGATGTACCTACTTCGCAGTTAGTGTTTTCACCAGGATTCGAACTCTAGACCCATCCCTTCAAACGCCAGAGCGTTTTCCACTAGACCACCGAGTTACGACATCCACATCTTGTGCAGCGGGTAGCCTAGTGGATAATGCTCTGGGGTTTGAAGCGATCAGGGCCGAGTTCGAGTCCCGGTGGGGACATCACTCACTGGGAAGCATGTGCATCCAGCTGACGAGTCCCACATAGGACGAGATGCATATCCTGAATTTTACTAATGACCACTATCCATCATTACTATAATTAAAACACAGGTAATATCGAGGCATCCGCACAGGAGCACATATGCTAATAGAGACCGAATCAATTTGGTCTAATCAACGACAGTATACTACAAGCAATAATGCTAAGAACATCACAACGCTGAGAATGAAAATATAGCCAAGCAGCAAAAAGTGGAAAACGAACTGGAATATTATAATATTTGTTACTGACGACGAATATTGGAACCAATCATTGGAGGAGATACGACGAGGAAATTGACGGTAGCCATCAATATAACTAAAAACCAAAGGCGAGAAGAGAAGGCAGAAGTTGAATGACCAACTATCACAACCAACAGAGAAGGAATTAAAAGATGAATGGTTGGTGAGTCTTTCAGAACGCATCTCATCTACGATAGAAAACGATTTGCTTCAGAAGGAACTGAACTACAACAATGGAAATGCAGATAAACTTGATTTTTGCGCTCGTTTGGAGTCTATGTTGAAAACCTGAGGATTTATTGTTGACCAACACAACAGGAACTACGTCAATAGATTGTACCTCCAGTGAAAATCAAAGGAAATCAGCACCTACTAAGCAGTAAACAGAAATACACTGAAATCACCAGTGAGTGACAAGACATCTGTACCTTCGGATAAAGGAAGGAAAACCGTCGTCATGAACAAAACGGACTATGTTAAACTGGGATACTGATAATCAGGAAAACCATTTTCAGATGGCTTATAATTACCTATAGAAATACAGTCTTAGAGCCACTAGTTGTCTGTTCTTTATTAATTTTCTAATAAGCAGTTGATTATTGTACTATTTTGGAAACATATGATCGTTTCTCTCATTATATTGCCGATGTAAGTCAGCAGTAAGCGGATCAGCTGTGCTGTGATATTCAGTCAGTCAGTTGATATTGAAAGACAGTCTCACTCTAGTCAGATAAGTGAAAAATGTTCATGGCTACGAGAAAATATGTAGGTGACTACTCTCGTCTACTGTCTTACTATGTCATCATTACAATATTATGGCAGCTAAGTAACTACTTCAGCCATGATGGGTCAGTAACCGACGAAATCTCTGCACGAAACATACGATTAGCTTTCACCAACTTACGCCATTTACGGCGCTACCGTGGTATCTGATTGCCCATTAAGGCTCGAGTATACTGTGCTGTAGTTCTTTCTGTCCTACTTTATGGGTATGAAACATAGCCATTACAGGTAGAGGACATGAGAAGGCTTCTGCTGTTCAATGACTGTTGCCTTTATAATAAAGGCCGTGTTGTGGTATCACCATGTAAGTAACGCAAAAGTGAGGTGTAGAGTTTTAGGGAACAGTGAAAAGTAAGTTGATAAAGTCATGAACCTTTATCGACTAGGACGTGTGTAAGACTGCCTACCTCATCATGCAATGTTAGCTGAAGTAGGTTCGTGCTGGAAAAACGCTAGGAGCGATCAAACTGAAACATGACAACACTGCATGAACAAAGTCTTTGATCGCTGGATCGAGTAATATTGGGGTCCACATGACAGCAGAAACCAGAGATGGGAGACTCTAGGTGTCGATGTCAGTGGAGCAGATGTATCCATATATTATTTTAACCTTCACCGCTATTCTAAATTTAGCATGGCTTTCTACTGCTTTCAACCGACTATCCTCTCTTTTTTCATCTCTCATCTTACTATTGTTACTTGCTATGCTGATATACGGTATGGCAACTTGGATCATTGTACAGTAACGTCTGGTCTTTTGTTAATATTGACTGATTAATTGATCTGGTTGCTAAGCCTAAAAGTGAAATTATATCAATTGAGACTTTAAGATAAAATAAGCGTATACAGGTATGCAAAACTCACTGCATGTTGAATATTGTCTATAAGAATAGTGTTAACAAGTTTGCAAGGATTTACAGAATCTTTAGGATGACAACATTTGTCTCGACAGCTCACTTTGGTGAAACCACAATCACATTCTTCACCGTCTTCAATTAACTGATTACCACAGAATTGACCATCTGAACTTAGAAAACAATTAGTTTCATCCTAAGAACAAAATAAAACCCATAAATATCACTGATAAAGTACTGTATTAAGCAACAGGATAATATAAACGTTATGTTATTCATTTATACGAATTACTTAGTAGTCAAAATAAAATGATAATACATCAATTTGAGTTAGGTGAGAGATTTTAAGACTATCCATTTGTCCACTGATAGAGACTGAAGAATTTCTGTAAGTAATATACTAATAATGGTGAAATATTTAGAATTATATACCCCGATCACTACGTATATATATGCCTTGGTACCCAACCTACACATTTGGGTATATTTAGAATATAATGAATTGGATGTATAACGGACAAATTAAGCTGATTTAATGCGAATAAAATAGATAAAGTGAATAAATACAACATCATCAAACAATTTTCTATCTGCTATTGTATAGGAACAAAACAATACCTAGATTAATTGTCTACTCATTTAGATTGTAATGCTTTACATTGTATCGAAAAAAAAGAGAGAAAACCAGAAGAAAACACAAGAAGGAATGTTATGATGGTAAAGATTCAGAAGAAAAATGTAAAAGAAAATAAATAAACCTTTGAGAAAACAAGATGATAAAGGATAACAAGTTGCTTTGAATATGTTTACATTTTCAGTGTCTATTTTGATTGATTTTTACTCCTAAAATATATTCGAATATCTCTTCCTTGCTGAAGGTTCCTGAACTAGACTGTAAAATACACATGTTGGAAATATTAAAACCTGGCACTTCATGTCAAAGTTAGAGAACACACATCTACGCTGTAAGATCAACCGGTTTGAACTTTATAAGCGATACCTAAATGATACCTTCATTATTTCCAAACGCGGTCTTTTGAGGGATGCTGTTTTGAGATTTGATTATTCTAAGCCGGATAGGAGAAACTCATACCACCGGCTCCCTAAGACAGTGGGGTGGGGTGGAGTATGTTATTTTAGAGGACGACCTTTCCTAACTCTCCCCTTCCCGTTGGGAAGGCAGTATCAGTGTGGCACTCCTGACCATACAAGGGAAACATTACTGTTATCACACTCCATCCAGCTAGCAGTAGTGTAGACTTTGCATCATATTATGCTAATCACGGGTTTTTACGGTTTGCCTTGCTGAAAGGGGTTTACGAATAGTACATGTTCCCAATGATGGCTTTGTACTGGAACACATGTAGTCATGTTAGAGTCTAAGAAGAGCTATCACATGAATTGTCTATATCGTTAAGGATGTCCACAGTTTTCCAGTCTATTTTACCCGGTTACAGACCAGATCATGGAAGTCTTTTATTTTTGCTTTTAGCTCTAAGGATTGATCTCACAACAGGAGATACTTTAGTCGACCTCCGGTAAGCAATTTTCTGAATACATTGAGTGACAACTTAAGAATTCTTAGGATGCATTTCTCAACCCTCAAACGAAAATTATTGATTTAGAACTGGTCTGTGTCAATACCTCACCTGATAACAGGGGTTAAAGTGGCTGAGAATGTTGACCACTTCACTTAAAAACTCAGACCAACCTTGATGAACTGGTGACCGATATAGTTTCAACGCCAATAATGATATATTCGAGTGGCTTTTGCCAATTTGCGCCACCTATGGCGCCGCTGTGATATCCGTTTGTCTATTAAGGGTCATGTGTACTGCACAGCAGTCCGGTCTGTTCTACCGTATGGCTGTGAAACATGGTCATTGACGGTGGAAGACATGAGAAGGCTTCAAGTGTTTGACCACCGTTGCCTTTTTAGTATAGGCCGTATTCCGTGATGTCACCACATGAGTAACGCAGAGGTCAGGTGTAGAGTTCTAGGGAGTAGAGGTAAGTCAGTTGACAAGGTTATGAACCTTCATCGACTGAGATGGTTGTGACACGTGTTACGTATGCCCGGTCGCCGACTGCCCTGTAACACAATGTTGTTGGCTGAAGTAGGCCCAGGCTGGAAAAAGGCTCGAGGTGGCCAGATTAAAACACGGCATCAGTATGTAAAGTCTTTGACTTAGTTTGAGCCATGTGGGGCAATGGAGGCCAGGTGGTTGGGGTCTGCGGGACAAGAGAAACCAGTGGCTGCAGACTAGGGGATATAGCTCAGAACAGAAGTCAGTGGCGCAGATGTATACACACATTATCTTCACCTTAACACTATACCGATTCTCACTACTTTGTCATCGTTCCTTTCTTTCTTCTCGTACTTTATATTTCTTTTGACTGAATTTTCTTATCTTCATCTTTCACCTCACTACCTTTGTACTAATATGTACTAATATGAGCTGTGGCAACTTGGACAGTTGCGCAGTAATGCCTGGTTCTATATTGATATTGATGATTCGAGTGGCTTTAACCAAAGTACTTAACCAGTAATATCAGTCAGATAACTGATAACCTACTAAGGACCCAGTGAAATACGCAGAAATTCAAAACCCTCCTTAATAGCCATGAAACATGACTTTTTAAGGTGAAGGATACTCTTAGATTACTTGTGTTGGCCCATCGTTACCTTAGAAACATTGGCTACATGTCGTGGAAGTAATGTAGTGGTTAGACGTAAAGTCTTAGGTAAATAAGCTCGAGTCAGTTTAGGAAATCATGAACCTTCGCTAACTAAGATCTTTGGGATATATATCACGGATACCGTGACTGTCTATCCCAAGGTGCGATGTTAGCTGAAGTAAGGTTATACTGAAAGTTAAAGATAGTCAGATCAAGATGTGACACCAATCCACAGACTGCATGATAGTTGACCTGAGCCATGATGTAGGGACGTATAGGCTACCTGGGTGGCATTCTAAGGGCGTTTACGAATCAACGGTCGAATACTTGATAATATGCTTCTGAATCTATGATAACGGTGCAGATGTGTGCTCTAAATTAGCTACGAACATTTAAACATTTTACTATTCTTCGCTTATTTTCTTCCCTTATCTCTTAAACTTTTGTTGGCTCTTAAGATTTTTTTTCCTATCCACCTCCCCTTAGTGCTTTCGTGAAATCGAACAACTAAAAGCGATACACATCCATGATAGCTTTTGCATTCGTCTACCTTGAGTCCTATTCGATTTTAAGCTCATGGCTGAGAAAAGTAGTTATTACAAGTAGTATGTTTGAAGTACGAAATTGATTGCCTTTGTAGTATTATCCCCAAGTGAAAGGACCAAAACACTAAAAATCCTGAAATGAGACGTTTTCGATAAGAGAGACACATTATCCAACTCTTGTCTGAGGTAATATGATTGAATGGTGAGGAGGAATGACTACAGATTAAACCACAGTAACTCAATAGACGAGAACCAACGCTAAAAGGTACAGATAAACAGAACAAGATCTACTATAAATTGACAGTTGGCAAGAAAACTGGTCAGGTTAGTTCAAGCGAGTGCATAGTTGCATTTCTCTTACAAACGAAAACAGTTGTCAGAACCCTAAGGTTGTTGTATCCTTCACAACTTTCTCTGCATTGGCATTTTGTGACACTACTTTCTTCCATTTGCTATTCATCTACGTGAAGATTCCAAACCGCTGAATCTTTGTGATAGACAATCCTACAATGCAGAATGAATTAAATTGGACTATGAAATACATGTAGGGCTGCGGTTCATTGGTTTAGAGGGTTGACTTTCAACCATTGGGGTGGTGGGTTCCAGCCCTACTCCCTAATTACCCAGGTTTGGCCAACCAGGTAGAAGCATCATTAGCCTACACACATAAAAGGTGTGACTCATTATCTGTTGCAAAAATATGCACAAGGTTGATTTCAGTGGTACAGATGGATCAGTCCTTTTCAATGAACAAAATTTCACGATAAAAAACTTTTTTCGAGTGTCAAATAATTGTCCTAGTTTTGTTTAACAAGGATATAATTAAAATCTGAAGTATGGAGTATTTTCTAGTGCACTTACCCAAAGAATACGATCTAACAGTCTGGCAATGGAGTCAAGAGAGCAATTTGAAAATTTGTTATTATTTTCTTTATCACCGCTGGTTGCACTAGCAAACATGATATAATTGCCTCGAATATCATCAACAGACGGTAAGCATGCATATGGTTCATTTTTATGGTCATCATCATGCTTAGCGCCGAAATTATGTCCCATTTCATGAGCAAACGTAAGCTGGGATACTTTTAAGGCAACCTACAATTGAGAAGTAAGCAAATAGAAAGTAACGCAACATGCAGACAAAAATTGCTTCGGACAAGTATTTTAGAAATACGGAGATAAATTTATTACCTGTGATCCATAGTTTAAAAGTGTTACAACGCCTGTATTCAGGCTTTTATGAACATTCTGATTTCCTTCGCGCATTTGTCTGTGCTTTTCACATACACCACCAGATCCGCTTAGCTCAGCAACCCATGCCAAACCAAGTGTCCCACCTGAAAAATCTCTATACGTGAATATATACGCCAAGCAGAAGTCATCATGTTTGTTGTAAGAATGTAAATTCAGGTAGTTAGTAATATCAATGTTTGGTGCACAGAAAGGGTTTTCATCTGCGTATGCCCCACCAAAACCTAAATGATTAGTATTATTCAACCGTTGGATGGTCAGATAGTCAGAGATTGTTTCATGCGGCAAAGCGGTCGGTGACAGATATGAGTTATTTCGGTCTCTGAAATCTGTAGATATCCATGGACGAATACGACAATCCTCTTCTGTGACATTGATAAGAACTCGATCAACGCGAAAACTGACTCCTCGGAATTCCAAACGACCCTTAAACAAAAAAATCATTAGTAATTTTATACTACCAGTTGACTAATACAACAAAGAAATAAAATAAACACTGAGGAAAGATGCATTTTTGTTACTCACATTAAACACCCTATTGAAATAAACAATTTTATCCTGAACCACAGGTAACGTTAGGTAAAGTAAATCTCCTAGTTACTGGACGAAAAAGAAAGTAAAGATTACGACAGATCCAATTCATCCATGTCAAATGCGTATGTTCCGTCAGTTACAACTGGAATACTGGAAAAGCTTTTGTACATGGTAATTTGCATGAAATCGAACACTTGTACACCGACCACGTTGAGTACCATGTATAATCACTATAGCTCAATTATTCTGCCCTTATTGCAAAACTAAACAGTAAGGGAGCAGTTTTGAGCACAAAAAACGAGGACACTGAAATCCTATTATTTAGAGAATAAAAATAAGGACACCTTTCACCTACTATGAACAATTATAAAACAATAATTACCATTGACGCAAGAAATATTTGCTGTAGTAATCCTAAATTTCAGGCAACGGATAATCGTCGCCTACATTTCATGACTTAACGAAAAATTTGTCACAGACAGAGACATTATCAACCTGAGACACGATATAGCTACCAGACTTCACACCAGCTCGTTGAGACGGAGATCAACAACAGAAAAGACAAATAAACACCAACAGTCAATATAAGCCACATGCAAAGGAAGGGAGAAGACAAGGCAGGAATACTTTCGAGTCACTTTGAACGCTACGTCTAAAGCTTCTAATCGACTTCATCAGTTAATTCAGGGACCCTAACCAATAAACCTGTACTGTCTTATGCCACTCAGATTAACAGTCGAAGATTTCATGGTTTGATGATGATGATTTGGTTCGGTTACCTTAGGTTTTCATTTAACCCAGTCTTAATTAGCTATAATCCACCCGACACTGAGTATCGAGGTACGCTATGGATTGGCATGTACGATACATATCAAAGTTATCTCAGTCGATGGAGGTTTGCGACCTGATCTACTTGTTGACCCCCCTCACCTAACACTCAAGATCAAACTATTCCACTGATCCAATGGTGACTTCGCTAAACACAAGCCGATAACACTAACAGCACTGATATTTTGAGCAGGAGTTTTTGGTAAAGTTGGTCATCAGTACATTAAAGAGTTGAGTTTTTAATCGTTCATCACTTACCTACTGCTGCCGAAAACTTACAACCACCCACTGTAACTAGGTCATACGATTATTTCATATCGAAATCTACTCAGCAACCTTGTGCATATTCGTGCAGTAGGCAATGGGCCAAATCTGTTGTCAGAGTAAAGGATACCTACATAGTTGCCCAAACCTCGGTAGATGGGGTAGGGTTCGAATCCGTGATTACTTCCGAATGAAGATGTAGCGCACGAAGGTCATGAAGCAATAGATGATTTGACAGCGAGACGGTAGGATAGAAGTCGAATGGTTAAATAATGATATGATCTGGTGTGGCAGGAACTAGTGATTAGTGCTCATGAGAATAAACTAGTCAGTTGATTGATCATACTCGATTTATGTCTGAAACCCAAACTCTAAATGAAGGGAATTGTTGATTTTATGTACATATGAAACAAACTTATGTGGATAGAAATCATACAACTAAAAATGTACAATTATCAGAGAGTAAGAGCAAAGGTCATAGAATAGTCCATGACTAGTTACCAATATTTGGGGAAATACCTGTCTCTTAAGTCAGAGAAACAAGGAAGTCACAACATTTTTGTACTTAGTAACCGTTCTAACTCGAAAATAATAAGTGCTGAAGAGTATTAAACTGTAGTGTGAGTCAAATAACTGTGCAGTTATTTGCTTTCAGTTAACGAATAACTTACTGCATGGTCTCGAAAAACTGCATCCTGGTAGATCAACTGAGCACCCTGGACATGTTGCGTAAAAATTGAAGTTATTTCCTTGACTGCAAGCTCCCTGTTACCTCGTATATGTCGCATGTTAATCACGTGATCCCAAAGATAAGTGTCTGATTGTAAGTAGAGATTGCACACTCGTGTGTTGGGTCCTCCACCTTTATACGGTGCAGAAACATTATCTTTACTATGTGACATATGATATAAGTGAGCTAGTGAATTCTGATGATTCGGGATATATGAAGTACGGCTTGTGGATACAGGAGCTTCAAAAAAGGAACGACGAGATCTAAGGGCTTAAGAGGAGAAACAGGCAGATCAGTGTCAAGACAAGAAAGTCTTAAAAAATCAAATACGAATTATCTTCAATTGATAAGTGAGGATTACATATGCAAGGGAAACTAGGACTATCGAACAGACTAGCAACTGCGGCAGTTATTGTGCACTGTGATATTTAGAACTGGCAACTTCGTGGATTTTCATCAACTTATACTACTTGTAGTATAGATACCAAATTATTGTGAACGCTGAGCTGACAGTACTGTGTGGCATTCAGATAAACGAATGTTATCAATAGTTAACTACCAAGTCCTTCAAAACACGGTTGTTTTCTAGAGGAATCACTGATCAAGTAGGAGGATAAGACCCGATAATGAAGTAAGTCCTCCCTGAGATTGTGAGGATGTTGGGCATGTTTATTCAACGTATACCTCAAAGTAATATACTACATGGGAGATGAAGAAAGCTTCAGATTGGTATGAATAACACCAATAGTCTATGGAGTAACTACAGGTTTCTTGGTCGACATGAGACAACGCAATCCGGCAGCTGAAAACAACCAGATTTGAAGTTGGTAATATTTAGAAAGGTGGATCGTCATATTACCTCTGCTGAGAACTTCATTACCTTATATCTTAGGATCGTTTTCATTTTCCCTCTTAGCCTCATTAGGTTTTGGCCAGTGTTGAAATAATTGCATTTTATTCTACCAACTTGTCTCGCTTCGCTATACTAAACATGAATGTTAAAGTTTGGACGCATATACCAGTGCCTTCATCCACGTCCCTTCTTTATTTGCAGAACCAAGATACTGTCGATTTTTGTACATATCAGCACTCAATTAGCATATCTTGGATGCTTCTACTATTTCATTATATTCTTGTGTGTAAGTTAAGCAGTATCCTGGACGCGTGTAGACACTGTATTACTAAAAAAGTTAAATACTTTTGGTAGTAGTCAAGACCGAACAAGTGAGTGTGGAAACTGAGTTCAGTAGAAAAACACTACAGTGACTTCTAAAATCACAGTCAAAGTGACCAAAAAAAGACAATGGAGACTGATTTTGCCCCAATAACAAACACTTTTCTCAGGAACATAATGAGTAGCTCATCTACACCTTCGATCAGTCCGAACGGGCTGGTTGCTAATGAAATCTCAACTCAGACACAGAACGCCCGTTCGGCATTTGCCAACTTGCGTCACCTGTGGCGCCGAAGAGATATCCGACTACCTATCAAAGGATAAGTATACTGCGCTGCAGTTCGTTGTCTCGTAAGGTTGTGAAACTTGGTCGCTAGTAGTAGGAGACATGAAACAGTTACAATTTTTCAGTCATAGGTGTTTTCGTAGCATTGCTCGTGTTTGGTGAAATCAATATGTGAGCAATGTTGAGATCATGGAAAGGGTACTAGGCAAGACAGGCAAGTCGATTGACGAGGCCGTGAACTTCAGTCAACTGAGACGGCTTCAACATGTACTGTGCATGCTGTCACAACCCACCTCAACCTGACAAGCTAAGGGAAGTTGAACTGGGATGGAGAAAAGTTTACCGTGGCCAGGCCAAGACTTGGTACCAGTGCATGAAGTCCCAGACTGTTGGCTTGAGCTGTGTGAGATGTAGATTGCTTAGTTGGGGTCTCTGAGACAAAAGGAATTAGTCACTGACGGCTGAAAATCAGTCACAATGGCCCAGATGTATTCACTCCTTGACATCTTCGGAAGCTTGAATATTCGCACTAACCTGTATCTTTAGACGGTTTATTCTCTCACACCCTATTCTATCCAGCTGTTCTTTGTGTTCTTCTGTGCAGTGTGACGACTTGAGCAGATGGATTCCTGTGTCAAATCCTACGGTAAGTTTGTCAGTCAGTCTACACCTTATAACTGCATACAAAGATAAATGGGATACTAGTTCCCAACAATCCACCTACTGAAGAGTTCAATTGATGATGAAAGTACATGACAGAAAAATCTTTGAGGTGATTATACCAATACAGTACAAATCAACGATGCTTCACGTTGAAGCTCTGGTCTGTAAGATAGCTAACTCCGTGAACCTCTAAAGCTTTATAAGATACTTACTGCGCTTCTCCTTTTGCTTTCCTGCTTTACATCTTGATTTGCTAATCTGGGTTGTGAAAACCGGTATCCAGTAACACCAGGTTCAATGTTTGTAGTGAGTGGGGTTCGTCAGGGTACTCATGAGATCCCATGTTTTTTAGCGTGGTTAACACTATAACTAGAGATTTTCATTTATGCACATGGCTTTACTCCGCAGAGAATGACTAAGTATGATATGACATTATGAGTTATATATCAGGGGATAATTTCTACTGAAAACAACAATAGGAAGTCAGCGAGTACAAATGATCCTATTCAGTCAAAACGCGCATCGATTTCTAGAATGACAAACCAATACACCAAGTGGCTTAAAAACTTGTGAACATATTTTTAACGAGACAAGATTTATTAGCACACTGGTATGCATTTGATGACGATAAGGAAAGAACCACTATGAAACACAACTGCTTTATATAGGGTTTTAAAAATAGGTGATGAAGCAAAACTAAAAGAAAATTAAAATACAATAACAAAAACAAATAGAGAAGTAAAACCCTCTGAACTTACTGATCCCTCTCCGGTGAGTAAAACCATCAGGTTGACTTGTTTCTGTCATTCTCTCAACAATAGTAGGATCTGACCATCCACAAAAGTTGGGACTTGTCACATGGCTTGCACGGCGAACGCGGCCGTGAATGCTAGAATTAGGAGTTTTCACATCCACAGCACTGTAGATAATCGAGTGAAATGGGAGATCTCCTGTGAAATAGTATCCCGTGGGCTCAATATAATATGTGTCGTAAGACCCAGAAGGAGAATGAATCAACTTGTTTTTGTCCAGAGATACAGTTCCTCGAAATACACCATCTATTACACTTCCAAATACAACACTTTGCGTAAACCCATCAACATATCCGCGTACCGCATGCTCAGTCACTGTACGGAGACCACCAACCCATTCCCGACCACCAACAATCAACTTCCCATTGGGTTGTACTACTTCCATATCAGGGAATAAAACTAGCCGGATTGACTTCCCAAAGGCATTTATTGGAAAAATGACACTTGTTGCCGCGGCACTACGACGTACCCTCTGCCTAAGTAATTGTGGAGGATAATCTAACGTATCATATTGCCGAAAGTGAAGACTTTCCGGATACCTATGGGACTGCATGCAGACAGAGAGGGATACAAGTGCTATGAGTGGCACATATAGATATATGCATAGAGGTTGTGAAAACATAACCATTAGCCGAAAACATGTATACATGTTGAACAGACAAAAGAATTGGCTACATGATTTGAAAAGAGCAGTTCATCACAGTAAAAACCCAGAACCTTACGCAGAAGTGAGACAAATTAAATGACCAGTAACTACTGCAAAAAGACATGACATGTGTTAAATCTGCGAATCACACTGCACCCTGTGATATGGTACAGCTTATTTGAAAACAACAAATCTTCCTTCTTTTCATTTCAAACAATCAGCTTAAGCTAACACACAAGTAGACAGAGAACAATAAATGAATAGATATAGCTTTTCCTCCAACGAAGGAGACGGTCACGTCTTCCTGCCGCCAGACTCAAGTCCGACTGAGTCAAGTACGATTGCCCACTAGTGAGACAAAGTGATGACTTCCGTCGCTCTGATTGGTCAGTGTGAAATCACTTTTTAAAATTCTAGAGGCGCTACTTTCTTATCCTGTTAACTACTCTCATTTGCTTGTTGAACATTCAGCAATTAGAAAGTAGCAAGGAAATATCCCTTACACAAGATTTCGCATCCGTAGACCAGGTAACAGAATTTCGTCAGCTTGTATGTGGTTTTAAAACGCTAGCATTCTCATGAGTGCAATCCAAACGCCTTAACTATCTCCAAACTTTTGCAGCCCTCTATACGGAGGGCTTAAAAGAGACACTCCACAACTCAAATTCCACCGACCTCCCCGAACAAAGTACGGTCAGTATCAAAGGATAGCAAAAAGAAGTCCTCAAACAAAGCTAGGACAGTGACTATTCACACTACTTCGCACGAAGACCACATTAGGCAGGACTTTTATATCCCCAACCCTGCTACACAGGACGTCGAGAGCGTGCAGAAAGACACCGTCCACTGCACGCTCTAAGAAACCTAGCCTAAAAGTCGTAGACACCGTGACAGAGAAACGACCTGGAAGAGTGCATAACAAACCTACTGGAAAATCTGGCGTGTTACTCATGACGAACGCAAGCCACAGGAGGGCCAACTCAACCATTTTGTTAAACGCCCAGGTATCTATAGGCTCATTGTTGGTCAAGAAATAACTACTTGACAGCCGACTGTAGGCTGACTGCTGTCAGATACTGGGGGGGCTCTGTCCTCCTTGGCGGCACTGTGTCGCCTTTCCATTGGCAGTCAGGGACTTGGGGCAAGTTGCCACCATAACGAGTATCTTTTAGCCCACCAAAAGATACCGAAGTTACCCTTCTGCTTTCACGTCAACCGGACATTGCCAATACCTGCAAAACCCGGAACAACCTTGACAGGCTAAGGTCGCTGAGAGAGGAGGAGAGAAAACCAGAGGATGGGAATCCGAGCAGAAACAATACCATGGTTGTACATGGGACCCCAGAAGTGCCAAGTGACTAGTCTGCTGAAGACCGGTACTTCCACGACGTCCAACAACGGCAACGGGTTTCTAATAAAGTTGGCCTCGACAACATACCGAGTAACAGAACTAGCGGACTTCCGACAGCAGCGCACCTGAGGTCTATCCCTGCTCCCAGACTGCTCACCATCCACTTTGGTTCACATCCCTCCCTCACAGACGTTCTTCATGCATGGTATAGCATGAAAGACCGTATGGGTGGCTCAGTACTCATGTATGAGAGTAAGCTGAGGGCCACCAGGCAAAAAGAAAGACGGCAACCGGCAAGACCTCTGGAGTAAGTGGTTGCCACACAGACACAAATCAGTGAGTCAGGCGCGTCGAGTACTGGAGCTCCTGTCACCGCAGTTTCCCACAGGCTGAAAGTAAGGTGCCGAAAAACAGCGCAGCGCCAACCCTTTGAGGATCGGCTGTCGCAGATCCAAGCAGGTAATTACCCCACCTCCCGCGAAAATACGCGACCTATCCTTTCTCATCGGATACACCCTAACATGCGAGTACGGCAACGTCAGGGGACTAGAAAGAAGTGACAGAGACGAAGACGCTCCACTAACGTCCGCACGTTGGCATCGTATCGGTCACAGAATCTAGGCTCTAACCGGCCATTTCCGACAAGAAGATGAGTGCCACTGACATGGAACTCTCCAGCCCGTAAGAGAGCTCAGGGAGGGGGAGTGGCTCCTCACGTGAGTCCTCTTTTAAAAGTAGCCGATACAGCTGTGATCCAGCTTCCGGAGTAACTATGGTGCCATTTTACCCTTCATCGTATCAAATACATGCCCGCGGCAGCATATCAGCTGTCACTGGCTCCCCCAACAGGTAAGGAAATGGTCGTCAAACCAATCTTGGCGACCTCTTCTGCAGGCTACGACTTCAGCGCTCCAAGCGTCTTCTTCGGGATGGAAGACAGGCAGAACACATCCTTCAGTCAGACGTTGAAGAGCCTGGTACAGGGTTCCGGTCCCTCAGAGAAAGCGAGAGATGCCACGCGTTGGAGGCCTGATGGAAATGCATTGATCCTGAAGCACGTTCTGACGAACGCTGACCTTTTCATTGAGGATATATGTGTCCGACCATCTCCAATTCTCAGTGATAAAGGATTGATGACTTCATCCTTAACCACTAGGAAGACCGCAGCCGGCGATATATAACGCCTTCTCTAGTTTTAACAAGACTAGCTACGAGACCTTTAGATGTTCCCTTATGAGCGCATTATGGTCTGCAGACCAGACTAGTCCCACAGTAGGTGAACACTAGACGCGGATGAAGTAAATAATCATTGATGAGACTAGTCACAGTGTGCCGGAGATAACACGCCAGCCGCCGGTGAGAACCTCATGGGTAAGGCGTAGAACAAAGAGGCCGCCTCAGAGATTTTTCAGTCAAAGTCATGCTTAAGATCTTCTCTTCAAGCCCACACTGAAAAAAGAGAGAAAAAAGGAAAGCACCAGCGGGGTGAGACACCACGCCAGACGAATTAGGAACAGAGAATTTCCCATCTTGTTAGGCTCACTGGAACTTAGCGTGCACTTTAATTTATGCAGATAAAAGCGACCCTTCTGTTTTTCTCACGTGATAGCCGCACAGGTTTTTAGATATGCGGGGTTTATCTGTTGACATACGGAAAAAACTGACTTTAAATCAAGTGCATTCGTACCTTTCCTACATGCACTTTACTGACTGTACAATTCAGGCACCTGAAATGGTGATCAGACACCCTGTATGAAAATTTGTCGGCCCACCAGCGCCAAAGGTACTTGAAATTGATGATAACCTCACTTCACACGTTTAGAGGCCGTAATATATTTCCGTTATCTCAGGACGCGTAGATAGTGGTTAGGCGGGTTGAGGCCTCATCATCTGCGAGAAGCTTATTGAGTAGGCGGCCAAAAATAGGTGACGGAATTGCTGCACGTATTTTCTTGGGAGGTCTATTCCAGATGGGGGAGGTGATAACTGGGGAGGAAATTACCCGGCAGGCTGGTCTTGCAAAACTCGGCTTTCGTTTATAGCTTATTATTACATATATCGTAGGCAGGTGTTACGACTACTTTAATTTCCAGGCCGCATTCGCTTGCAAAGCGGTTTATAATAGAGTGCGAACTTCATTTTAAGTCGCCTCTTTTAGGGGTTCTAGTCTGAGCGTGCTACATTTGGAGTTCTAGTCTGGAATGCAGTCAGCTCCTAGTGTCCGTAGTGCAAGGCTGGCCATAATTCTTTTAAGCTTAGTCTATCACTTATGTGGAGGCCACTTGTAATAAACGGGCAGTGTTCCAGAATTGGAAGGATGCACACCTTGTAAGTGGAAGCCGTGATTCACCACCGCAGAAATTACGAATGATACATCCTTGGAGTATACGCGACTTGTTTTGCAATACGCCGCTTGTTCCGGGAAATTCAAGTCGCTAGAATATCTTGGACCTAGGTCTGAGACAGAACTAAGTTCTTGCAACTGTTGTACAGATGATTCAAATATTAAGCCAAGGCCGCCTTTACCAGTGCAGATCCATCCGCGTTTGTCGATGTCGGACTGTACAAATGCGTCAGCACGCCAAAAATAAATCCTTATTAGTTCACGTCAAATGTCAGCCATACTGTTTTCGGCTCATGTCTATGACAAGAGTAAACGACTTTTAAGCTGTTGGCAGATAGATGAGTCTCACATGTGGCAGAGCAATTGCAATACTGTTAGTGTAGATGACAAACAAAAGAGGGCCAAGAACGCTACCCTGCAACACCGCTTTATAATATTGCCGTGTGGTGTGAGGTTAAGCTGTCTTGCGAAGCTTGCCGAAGTTTTGGATTCACATACTTCCCTATGCGAACCGTCCCACATCCAGGCATTGCTCATTGTAAAGAAGTCCTGCCTAGTAACCATCCCGAAATGTCCAAATGATAATGTCGGGGTTACGTTTCTCAACCCATGGGCAGCTTTATTTATGAACCGCATGTCTTTGCATGTACTTTCGGTTAGTCCATCAAGAAGCTTATATAACAGTATCAAGTTCGGTCTGACTCTTAATTGCTGCAGTGGCTCAAGTCCCGGGATGTTGCATCTGGTGGTATATTTACATCATAATTAGTGTTCAGTATTCGCATGGCAAATTATCCGTGCACTCCTTCTACTTTCAGTTTATCCCTAATCCTTATACCGCTGCAGAAATGAGCAATATTCGAGCTGTGGTTGGACACATGTTTTGTACAGGATTACTCTGGATTCGAAAATGTTGAAGTTTCGCCATGTGGAAGCTGCCATTTTGCGTGACATCAACACCCGTGTGGATATGCGCTCGGAGAAGGCTAGGTTATGGCACTATCGCAGCCCCAGGTCTTGTAAAGACTTCAGTTTTGGGAGGTAAAGGGTTTAGTTCAACAGCAGTCATTTGTGCATATCCAGCAACATATTCAACGCTTAATTTGAGTCGCCAGGTGCTGCACTACGTGTTAACACATCTTAGTTCCTCTTGCATAGATTCAATGGCTGAGGTTAAGTCTCTGCTGAAGCATGCGTACACTACCATCGGGTCGTCCGCATATAGAAGTGCCTCACCTACCTTGAAATATTCACATTTACTACTGATGCGTAATACGAAGAGAAGTGAACCTAAGACGCTGCCCTGGACAACACCAGTTATTGGTTTAGGCTTTGAGACAGCTAAGCCAACTTTCATTATTTGCTAACGGTTACACAGAAAGGATTTCGACTGGTCTAAAAGTGGATTACAGATTCCAAAAGAAGCCAGCCTATTGACAAGCAAGTTGTGTGGGACTCCATCGAAGGCCTTTGTGATGTCGAAGTAAAGTACCATTACTAGCTTTTTCTGATCCCTCTTGCTGGTGATTTCTTTAAGAAAGTTCAACAGTTTCGTAGTGCAAGATCTTAAAGTAGTAGCTTATATTGACCAAGGCTTACATTACACCATGAGTGTGAATGGAATGGATGTGAGAGTAGGATTAGGAAGCAGTGGGCGTTGAGGTGGTGGCGTGGAAATTAGTGAGGAAGCGCAT